CTTGTTTTATACGACTACTAGGAGACTTGAGTCATCTGCATTCGGACCGAAAAAAATAATTTTACATTACTTTAGTACTTTGGTGATTGAGCTGATTCTTACAATATTATAAAGAATACTTAAAGCTTTACAAAATTGATTGTAATGTCATAACAATTTGTTTATGGGAGGTTGCAATGTTGGTCATGGCCAGATAGCCATATGCTTGTAGGGCAAGCAAAAGGCTCATTCACATCTCGTTTGGCTTTGCCCTCCATGCAAGTTTTCAACACCCAATTATTAGGTCGAGAATTTGGGGGTCAAAAAGCTATATATACTTTTTCATTATGCGTGGGAGTGTTGTGTTCTTTATCATTGCAATGGGAAATATCAAAAGCCATTCACATCTCCAGGGATCAATTGTAGTAGTGCAACTGACTTATTTAAACTTGTACGTACATATTTGAAGGACATCTAGGTGTTATCTTGGATTTCATTAAAAATTTTAGGGACAAACACCTTGTAATTATGAGTCTCTTAATGAATATTATATAATTGTGCATATTTTAGAGGCCCTAAAAGTAGTATCCCTGGAGCCCGATTTTCTACAACACTAGACGTCTTGCACATTACGATTACTCGTGTGAAGAGAGAATTAGGTAGTTGAATAGGGTTAAGAAGGGAGTTGGATGATTGTTTTGAGAAGAAATAAAGGACAATATTACTATAGCATGAATGGAAACAGTTCAAAAGAGTTTAAGATGCCAAGAGTTTTTTTTTTTTTTTTTTTTATGAACACACACAAGAGACACATGCAAATTTTGAACATATTGTACCCAACATTGTACTTCAGTTGTAAAAGTCAACAAGCTCGAGTTCAAACACCCCCTCTAAAAGGACCTAACATTTGATAATTATTTAGTAAGAAAAAAGGGGCATTATGAACATTTTGTGAGTGGACACCAAATTCTCTCTTTATTTATAGTATAAATATTTTTCTTAAGATTTTCGCGAGTTAGCGACTAGGACGGGAGCACTTGCAGAACCCATCATTTAGGTCCCTAGTGGACTACCCCAGTTGATTTAGGCTTTTATGGTCACGTCCCGATAGGATTTCTATGTTGATCGCCTCGTCACAACCCTTTTCTATTAACAAATATAAAAAGGATAACATTGTTGAACATTAGACTCATTAAGCAAACAATAAAAAAAAAGGTGTTAGTTAAAATGGCACCTAACAGAAAGATATGCATTAAGATTACATTATTGTTTTGTCCTTTAATAATGAAACAAGAGATAAAATGCTATCTGATGCGACAATGAAATCACTGTCATGGGCCTAATTTGGGTGGCTTCGGGGAGTCTCAAAGAGGGCACAATTGTCTTACGATATAGAGTTTTGGATTCGAATCCCCTCCACATATAAAATGAAAAAATAAAAATAATTCAATATGAAGTCCTTTCAATAGAAAAGATATGTATTAGAACAAATTAGAGCTTCTATACTTAGCCTTTCCAAATTTATAAACTTAATCCATTTCTATTATTTTTCATTTGTAGTACCAAGTATTCAAATTTTCTGCCTACTCGGGAGAGACAAGTGATAAGTATATCACAACCATTATAAAGAAGTTGATTTTTGAATTTTTGTATTATAATTTAGATTAATTTTTACTTCATATCAAATTTGATTTTTCGGGTCGTTTGTTTAACAAGATAATGGTAAAAAATGCAAGAAATAAATTTAAAAAAAAAAAACTTCATGCATTTGATTAGCATGAAATGAAAAATAATTGAAAAAAATAATTTTTTTCATACTTATATTTTCTCACAATTAACCAACTTTTTTTTTTCCCTAAAAAACACAAGGAAAAGTAAGAAAATTGTGATATCCAATCTAAACTCCCATTTTATCATTACTTACCTTAGAATATTCAATTGGTTATGGATTTGAAAAACTTGGCATTGGTTAGGTTAGCCATAAGATCTGACCCGAAAATCTAGGTTCGAGTCTATTCTTGTCCCATAAATAAGTTAGAAGTCACTTTTTTTTAAAAAATTAAACTTTTAATTATAATACATTTTTTTTCTTTAGATCGATTTAATATAATTAAATGTAATTTAGGCAATTGAAAAAATTTTGTTGTAACTTTTTTTTTCAAACAATAGAATAAAATTTTTGTAAAATTTTCTTGCAAGTTTTTCATGCTAACCAAATATATCTATGAAAATATGTTTTCTCTCATTTTTTTTCTTTCACTTCACTTTCTATTAGTTTCACTTTCCATTATTTTTTTATTCTGAACCAAACGGATACTAAGGAAAGATAAATCGATGTAAGCATATCGACGAGTGAATATCGTTCTACAATGATGTGATCTTATTTGCGAGGCCAATATATAACCTCAATATCTTGTCCCATGCAACTTTTTCTTTTATTCAGATATTTTATGTTTATTTTTCGTTATTATTCCGAGACGATGCAATTAATGTGTCATAAATGTCTTTTGAGTAGATGACAAATAATCACTATCTTTAACCATGCTCTCAATTCCTGTCATACATGGGTGTCTTGTGTATTTTTGTTTTAAACCATATCGATACATGGGTAGAGGGAGTTTCAAACCAAAGACCTCTACATTAGAAGTGAAGTGTTTGTGTATTGAGATGATATATTTTTTCTGAAAAAAGAAATGATCAAAATAAACCCGAGTGCACAAAACAAGTAATAAATATGTAAAACGATGGGTTTTTTTCTTTCATAAATACACACAGATTTTTATTTTAAAATAAATATAAAAATATTATTATATATAAATTTTAAATATATTTTATTCAACATCATATTACAAAGGCAAAAATCCAACCAGACAAACAAGTCGAAGTACAAATCGGGTTAGTGATAGGATTTCTCTACCATGGGTTCCACACATGACAAACCATTTGGTGGTGTTTGAATTGAACCTTTCTTTACGGCAACATGCTTTCTACGGTAGCGGCGAAGAGGAGCGTCTGGTATGCTGTACCATACGCTCCTTACGGGTCCCACCCACTGGCCCCTTTTGCCCGGCCTATTGCCTAGCTTTTTGCCAAGTGCGACCGTCCACTTACCCCTGGAAATTCCAATGTCTTCTGCAGACTCCCAACTCTAGTCCCCATTCCTATCGATTTCCATTCTTGTCGTCCTAAAACAACCAAAAAATGATTTATTTGTAGGGTTTTTAATTGTACCATTAAATATTAAAGATTTTAATTTACACCCTCAATATTATGAATTAGCAATAATATGAACTTGAGTCGAATTTATGTTCACTTTTTCATCATAAATTAAAGTACGTAAAGTGCAACTGCTTTGAATATGAGGAAGAGGTATACCCATCGCTATAAATCTTCATCTGTGATCAATTTGATACTATTTTATGTATTAAAAATAGAATTTCATTAATCAAATAGAGGCTAACTCTATTATATGCAATTCACATGAAGTGTCAACAGTATCTGAATATACATAGAATCTCGTACCCGATACACTTGCAACTCACATTTTTAAATTTATGAAGAAAAAGTATCATTTTCACATAAAGATAAAGCCCGTAATAGAAATTCAATAAAAAAGTTAACATGAAAGGGACTTTTCCCAATTACTTGCAATTCGTGAAATTGGAGTTCCCAAGCAAAAAATGATGCTAACATCATTCAACTATGGATAATGTTCAAATGATTCATCAATTTTCATGCTCACAAACAGAAAGATTCTATGTATTTGGGAAAATAATCATTTTATCCCTTAAAAAATATAGAAATTCTTAATTTATCCTTGAATGATTAATTTTTTCACATTATCCCTGTAAAGAATAAAAATATATACAATTTAGTCAATTATCTTATTTTCATTTAGTTGTTCGTCCGTATTTTGATTTCTAATAGGTTGATTTGACACAAAAAGACAAACGACGAAACAGAAATAAGACAACAGACTATATTGTAATGTTTTTTATTTCTTTAAGAGAACAATGCGAAAATTTTAATTATTCAAAAAGTAAATTAAGAATTTTTATATTTTTCAAAGGATAATCAATAGGTGAAGGATTTACAAGATTTATTTAACTTTAACAAGTTTTTAATCTAATGATTTCAATTAAGTCACATCATTAAATCAATAAATTATATCAAATTTTTAAATTTAAATATCATTATTCTTTTGGTTGATGGAGTGGTTCAACCAACAAGAGAATTTTGCTACATTATTCAACCACCTCAGCTTATCCAAAAGGTGAGGGGTACTTCTGTCATTCCATCGAAGTATGGGAGAGGATATGTACTTGAGGCCGACTTATGATTTACAACCCTAAAACATGTACAGATTATTTAGCCGCTAAAATTTCGATTATAACAATTAAATCTTTGAAATATTAACCAAATTTCAATTCAACCATTCCATCCAATCTCGGTAGCATTTCCTAACAAAATATAATACATCACTTTCTATCAAACACATTGGTGTTTCTCTTTTGTTTAGCACTAGTTTTCATTTTATCTTAGAATTAGATTAAACAAAGTAAAATTTTTTAGCTCGTACAAGAGCTTATTTTTGTGGAAAACAAGCATTCTCCCATGGCTAAGTCATGTATTGGTCACCTGAGGCTGTTAGAGCAGAACAAATTAATGAATCATCAGTTCGACTTTGAAAACTTGTTTGTTGCAATTGAAATTTTAAGGATCAAAACGAAACATAACATGATACATACTTTTAAGGGTATAAGTCATAAATTACCCATTCTTGCTTCCGTTAAGAGATAAGAAGCAGAGGTCCCTTTTATCAAATCAACAAGGTTTTGCTGATCAAAATTACTTATCAAGTTGCATCTCAAGTCACAGTTTTTTTTTGTTTTTTTTTTGATAGGACGTCAAAACTTCCTATCAGTGAAGGTCACGGTCAGCGTCAAACACGTACCTCAACCTTATTCAAATATGATATGATGTCAAATCAACACTTCAAATTAAGACAAAAACGCCCACTCTCAACCTAAGCAAACACCAAACTTTGGAATCTCAGCTTGCTGGGATTTCCGCCCCCCCCTTTTCTTCTTTTCTCTGTACCTTCTGAAAATTTCATCTCAAGTTGAAGAAAACCCACGTCAATCTCTAACCGCCCAATGTTTCTGCCTCTAGTTTTCCCTTGAAGATGGTCCAAAGAAAGGTACCCAACAAGCTTGAAATCCAAGCTGATGATTTTCAATCCAAGAAGCTGTTGGTAAACCTCAATACATCTTCTCAGAACCATGATGGCAAGAACAGAGGAGCAGCAGGAGCTGAGTTGAAGAAGAAGAAAATGAAGAAATCAAGATCAACCAAGCTTATTGAAAGCTTGCAATCACCAAGTTTCAAACGGCAAGTACCACAACCCGGAAAACCACCGCCGCCACGGCCGCCTCTGGAGGCTCCGACCACCACAGCAACCCCTCAGAAGCAGTCTCCGACGAAGTCTTCAGACATGACCCCGAACTATATGAAGTCCACAAGCTGTTTTGATGCTAGGAAGGAGCGTTCCCCGGGGAGTTCCCGGAATTCTCCAACTGGGTATGATCGGAAAAGCCCTCGCCGGAAGAATTCAAATTCAAACAACTCAAAAAACAGCTCAGCTTCTGGTCATAAGACGTCTAGTTTGAAACTTGTGAGGACTTTGACAAAGACTCCAAGTTTCAAACCAGCAAGGTCCACCGCCAAGAAATGTTCCCCAGTTGTTCTCTGTGAAAACCTTGATGTTCAGAGAGCAACATGTTCTTCAACCTTGAAAGATTCAAACTTTCCAGATTACCTGAAACTTAATCATGGAGGAACAGAATCAGAAGGAACCTCTGTTATGAAGGTTTGTCCGTACACTTACTGTTCACTTAATGGCCATTATCATACTCCTTTGCCGCCATTAAAGTGCTTCTTGTCAGCAAGGAGGCGTGTGATGAAGACCCAGAAGAGCATAAAGTTGGGTTGTCTATCCCCACGTGAATCAAGGGCCTCTGGAGAGAGAATGAAAGAGATTGATCCATGGCAGGGGATATTTGATGAGAAACCTGCAATTGAGGAGAAAGATTTCAATGTTTCAGTAATCTCTCCGCTGATACAAGAAGAGAATGAAGATTTCTTTGTGGAAATCTATGGTAAAGAAAGGGAAGATAACAATGAAGATGGACATACCATAAATGGGTTTTTTGTTGATGGAGTTAGGGGTTCAGGTGAAGGCTTTGATGAGAGAGGATCAGAAAATGATGATGGGATGGTTGTGGAGAGCTTCTCAGATGAATCCGCTTGTTCTGAAAGTGATTTTGACGACAATCTTGAAGCTTCTGATATGGAGTGGGAGGCAGGGGAATACTCTGTTTCATGTGTTGATGGTGAAGTCGATAATCCTATCCAATCCAACGATGCATCTGATTGGGGAAAAGGTGATTCACTGGAGGTTCGAAATCTTACTTTCCATGATGAACCCACCTTAAAGTTAGATGACATTGTTAGAAGCTGCTTGGGGGAAATTCTGGCTGATGAAATTCACCAAGAATTCTTTGAGGAAGAAAGTAAGTGCTCTGAAGCATTGTTTGTCGACAGAGAATTTGAATCGGATCATGACGAAGTATCTCTTCCTGATGTTGCATTTGAAGAACCAAAGACCAGAGGAGAAAGAAATGGAATATCAGTAATGGATCTTCAACTTGGAGATGATAAAACTGAGTGGATCATTGCCACAGAAGATGAAGCTCTGATTGACCATGACGAGAACGAGTCCATTCAAGATGATGACACAACTGCATTTCTGGGACACCAAGAGCCTAATCACTCTCGAGATTTCTCTGAACCAGATCAGAATGAAACAAATGAGAAAAACAGTGCAAGCCAAAACAACATTGAAGTTCACCATGCTGATGATGATGATAATAATAAAAATAGATTCAGTGAAGAGGTGTTTGTTCGAAACCTTCCTCCCAAATCAGAGGATTCAGAAACGGATCAGAATTGCCTCGAGCAAGAATTTATTTTTATTCATGCTGAAGGAGGAATGGAAGAGAAAGAGCAAGTTGATTCTGCAAAGTGTTCGGTTGGAGTTCAATCTGATTCGTCTCCGGGCTCCTTTGAAGCTGTCCAGGACAGTACTAGTGAGGACAATGATGAAAGGCGGCTTCACGTCATCCCTAAAGATGGTGAATCCATCCAATCTAATGCCGATGAATGCGTTCCAGCTGAATCACAGGATCACTCTTCTGATAAGCAATCCCCTACCAACTATCTTGTGGGAAATCAGAATCACTTGGAGAAAGATCGAGTTGAAGCTGGGAATTTCAAAACATCAAAGACAATGGACTCCGAAGATCAGACTCATTCAGGGATGACTACACTCGGTTCATCTCAAAATAGAGATCAAGATGTTGACCAAATAGAAATGAAACACTACATTAAGCCAGATGAAGAAGAGACACTGTCCGTGTTCGTTGCCCACAATACATCCTGCACAGAAACAAAAAAAGCACAATTCCATCCAAGAAATAATCCCAACAAACTGCCCGAGCCCTGCAAAAACTCGAGAGGAATAGCTAGAGGCAAGAGGCCTATCAAGGATTCGGAGGAACAAAGGGAATTCAATCCACGAGAACCGAATTATCTGCCATTGGAGCCAGACCCCGAAGCAGAAAAGGTTGATCTCAGGCATCAAATGATGGATGAAAGGAAAAATGCAGAGGAATGGATGCTAGATTATGCACTCCGACGAGCAGTCACCAACCTCATTCCTGCTCGAAAGAGAAAAGTGGCATTGCTTGTTGAAGCCTTTGAAACGGTCATCCCAGCACCAAAGTATGAATCCCATCTGAGGCACACTTCTGCTGGTTTTGCCCATGGAAGAACCATTCAAGCTTGCAGCTGATACTACCACCATGGTAAAGACACAACTTACTAAATTTCACAACCCTTTGATTCCGATTATCTCCTTATTATTAATATGAATTAATAGCTCTATTGTGCCCTAATTCTGTTGAAAATTGATTTTACTGTTTAGATACCTATGATATTGTGCCCTAATTCCCCTCTAAATCTAAATTACTTTCCCAAAGAAAAAGAAACGAAATTCCCCTTCAAAATATGCAACCAAACAATTATTCACATTGATGTCATAGAGATTAGATCATTTTTTACTCATTTCAACAGGTGAAGATCAGAGGAAGCAGTTCATGCATATTGAAACTGTTACAAGTTTGTGGAGTAGCAAAAGCTGCTAAGGTGTAGCCATGATCAACATTTCAGAAGCAACCTACAGTTCATCAGAACTGAGTGCTTGTTGTGTTCTTTTCCAGAGTTGCCGAAGACGGGCTTCTCCATAGCTTAATGGGTGAAATGCAAGTTAAGAGCTATCAGTTTAAGTATTTATGCAGTGATTAATAAAAGTGTGATGTTTAGAACCTTCAGTGATCAATCTGTAAGTGTTTGCTGTTGTAGAGGGTACTTTTACCTTCAAATATTTCTAAGTATTTACAGTTAATGGTCAGTGTTATTGTGTGTGTAATTATGGGTCCTGAAGTTTCCACCCCAACCCCAACCCCCAAATCATTAAATGATTATGCATTTCACTAGCTTAAATTAAATAGATTTATGCATTACAAAAGTTATTTAGCATCGTCTTCATGTTAAGCAGACAACTACTACAATGAACACTACTACTATTTGTACCTACATTGCTAGTTTAATTTACCGACCTAATCTATCATTGTCATTGAATTGGTAATGAGTCCAAACCAATATTGGGATCCACTATCAATGTAATGGCAGTGTTGATTAAGTCAACAAATTAAGTGAAAGTAGCATTAACTGTAATGAAAATGAACTGTTACTGTTCACAATGGAATTGCAATTGCAAAATGTAAGAATCACTAAAGCCCAACATTTATACAAAAAATGTAATAACATATGGAGGTTGGCAACTTGCAAAAATATTGGTCTAAAGAAACAATACTGTCAATTGTTGCTTTTGGAGGACACAAATCTTCTTAGTGTTAGTAACGCTTTCAGAGTATTGCCACACAATCTTCTTAAGAGTTAGTAATGCTTGCAGAGTATTGCCCATATTATTGAAATTGTAGAAAAGATCTTTGAAGGTCCAGCATTATGCAAATCCATCACTGATTTATGAATATTCGTGTCAGCTATGCACAATTCAAATAGGAATCCAAAGAAATTACGTTGAATCTGACTTAGTTATTCAATCTCGTGTCTACTCTTGCATTATAGTTGCTCTATGGAAACTAACAGTGTTGAGCCAAAAAAAAAAAAAAGCAAATAGATCACAGTGCAAATCTCATATAGTAGATATACCCCTATGCTAAAGCTTGGGGTGGATGACAGATTACAATATTTTTATTCAAAGAATATCTTAACCAATACAAGTATTAGCATCAGATTTGAAGTTGATTTAAAAAGCAAAAAGAAAATAACTCATAAATGTACCTGTTATTATTATAGGCCCTATGCTTTAATATATGATAACATCTATTGATTGAGATTTGCACCCTGATCTTTTTGCTTCTTTGTTGCGCAACATCGCGTAGTTAATTTCCATAGCCAGACCATGACCAAAAATAATGTAACACAAACAATAGTAGATGCCAGGTTGAACAACTGATGCAAAATTCAACCTAAAATCTTTTGATTCTTCTTTGATTTGGGCATTGTTAAAATAAATATTCATACACCTTCTAGGCCATTATAGATTGTCTCTACAAACTTGACCCAACCATGAATTCCTTGAATACGTTACCCACTCTGAGAAGCCTGTGCCCTCGGAATGCAGAAGTTACAACACTGTTCAGCTAGACCAAGATTTTCGCAATTTACCAACCTCCATGGGTTATTGCTGGCAAATATTAATGCATGTAATAATACAAACTTACTACACAATCATTGAACAAATAATAAACACCTCTTAAGAAGTAATGGTCCAATCACTTCTTCTAGAGAATACCTAGATTCTTGAGGTTCCTTCTCTTTGCTCCAATTTAGTAGCATATTCTTCCTCAACAAAGATGAATATGTATGTATGAAAGCACCTACTGGTGAGTCTCTGAATGCACTTTGATTGCAGGTGATTCAAGGATAATTGATTGAAGCTCTTCGTAGTAATTTTTCAAAAGAAAGCCATTCGGACTATGATCAGGCAGATCCGCTGTGCGAGAACTGGACTCAGCATCATTTCTCCGTTCAACTGGTTTGTTTGTTAAGTCATCATTGAACAACTTCAGTGCATCAGTCGTTGGAAGAGAATGCACCACTTCATACAAGCTTTGGAACTTGTTTCTCTTTGCCGGTGTTTCAACCAACCTTTCCCTTAATCCATCCGGAACGCAAGCTAGAGCACTTTGCCAAGGAAACAAAAGAAAGGGATACTAAAATATTAGGGCCAGACAAAAAAAGTAAACCATGTTCACAAGAAGGCTAAATAAACTCAAATATCTAGCATACCTAGTAATGCCTCTGACGAGACCCCAGTTAAACCCAACAGAGACAGATTCCCTAAAGCCAATATTAAACCCCTCTTGTGCAGAAGTTTCTTTGCCCGCCATGAGACCATCACGATATCCAATCTAATAGTGCATTAAACATGACACTACGTTAGCTGAAAAAATAGTACATAAACTCATCTCTCTTTGTCTCTCTTTCTATATATCGATGGTACAACAAGCAATGAACTACAACTCCAAGTTGTGCAGATACCGTATGGAATTGGTAGCGCCTCCTATGCCACTCCCTGTCCAAATCAGACGTATGATCCAATTCCTTAATAGAACCATTCCATGAAGATCCATCTTCCAGCCACAAGTCATCCTCGTGATAATCTGAAATTAAACAATAGATTAAGCATCACCATTTAGACATACCAAGGTAGAAAGGTTCTAAAAAAGAGGTACACAGCTAAAATTAATTATAATGATGTTTTAATACTAGATTTCATATGTACAATATTGCAAAAAGTGCAAAAGTGAACATAAAATGTCAATTCCCTTTGATAGATACCATTAAAAATATCTAATGCAGTTAGATGGAGAAAGAGGATTAAGGAGAATTAAACCATTACAACTTAACCAGACAAGAATTCAAAGCCATAAAATTCAACAATCAGGGGTCGACCCAGAAATACAAAACCTTAAGGAGTCTAATAAACATAACAGAATTTCAGAATGCAAGTGGCCTTTAGAATAGAGGGTATTACGTATTCTTTTTAGGTTAATATTATGACGAATTATCCCTTAATTGTGCTTACAATGAATGGCAAAGATAGTGGGGCCATCTAATAGGTGACCATTTTGCATGGTTGGGAAGTGGAGTAAGCCACAGATCAATGATAGCATCTTGTCCCTTTCCTGCTGTGCTATGGAATATAAGTACAGAGGAAGAACATACTTCACGGCCCGACAACCAACCTAAATCTTATGAGTGAAGGACTCACGTTCCTTGCAACTAGCGACTGCTTGTTTAACTCTTTTCTTCTATTTAAGCCATATAATCTGCAGAGGGTTCCACCAACATTTGGATGTTTCCATCCTAACATGAAGATGTTCATCACTAGCTAACACTCATCACTAACAGGTTACGGCAACTAACCACACACCGAATCATAATTTTCTCAAAAGGAGGGTGACAACCGACAACAAAAAAAGTACCTACTCCTTACATCAAACAAAGAATTTGTAATAACGGGTCATTACCCAATTCGATCCCAGATTCCCAGTTAATTGAGGTGCGGGAGGGATGGACTCAGCATAGATCTACCTTTCATATTCTTTGCACTATGGAACAGCCCTCATTTTCAGGCAGGTACCAATACTTTTGTGTCAGCATCTAGATATGGTCTCTTCAATACCCTTGGTTTCACCAACAAAGAACCTAAAATGTGCAATCAAATACCCGTGCCGCATTGTGTATTGCATACCCTGCCTACTGTAGAAAATAGTTTAGCCATGGAACTCATACCTTGTGAATCACTCTGCTTGCTGTTAGCAGTTGACATTGGACCCAATGCAAGTTTCGATAGCTGCAAGGTATCTGAGTATAGCTCATCAGCCAGACTGCGCTCCATCTGTGAGTGCACAGCAAATACAAACAAAAGTCGACAATCAATGACGCAAATTGTAAATGAAACTGAATACAGAAGCAAGTAAAATAAAATGAAACCCAAAAGGACTATTCAAGGACTTTACAAGATAAAAAAAATTGAAGAATTAGTAGGATCGTTTGACTTTAAACTCTAGAGGACACTAGAGAAAAATTGAAGAAATTTAGAAGAGAAGTTGCTAGATGTAGAGGAAACTTAGTGAGAGGACACACACCAACGGGGAGTATGCAGGGAGAGCAGGGGATGTGGTTTCTTTGCAGTCTAATTGAGATTGAGATGGAAAGTAGACATAGCAGGCTGCTGGGCTTCGTGGGATCCACAACTTCCCACATTCTATTGTTTACAATTATAATTTTTTGCCCATAACTTAAAAATACACATGGGCCTGTCTTGTACATTTAAATCAAATAAACACATCAGGGGAGTGCAGGGATTTGTCTCTGGTTAGTATCTTCCTTTCTCAGCCGCTCCACTAAATCAAGATTCCCTTTTCCTACCTGATCTCTCTGTCTCACACACATTTGACCACATATCCAATTGTCTCTTCTTAATCTTTTTCCCTCACTCCCTCTTCTTCACATCTTTCAAAAGCAGAAAACAAAACACACTAGTTAAGGAGTTTCAAAATATACTAAAAACTCTCTAATTAATGGGGAAACTTTGCACACCTATATGACTGCCCATAGTTTTTATTCCCTTATATTCCCATAGTTTTTATTCCCTTATATTTAAGCTCACAACTACAATTTCATTTCCAATGGCGCCACGGCAAAATCGACTTGGAATAAAGGGGCCCAATTCCAATTCTGAATCCTATTTTCACCCCAGCTCCATGATGCAATCAAGGCCTTAGAGAAATCCCCATCTTTTGGGCCATCAACGCTAGAGAAAAAGATCAGACAATTTCAATTGACTCAATTCCAATCAAGTAATTCTCGTGTAAATTGATGTAAAAAGTGAAGGAAAACCCCAACAAAAAAATAGCTTGCAGCATTTTGCACAAGAATGTGAGATATGCAAAAAAGTGGGCATCATTCATACAAGGTATGACCTCAAAAAAAAAAAAAAAAAAAAAGTACTGCAAGGGCTGTGCTGCAACAAAAACGTCAGACATGGGAATTTTGTAAGTGAAGAAACCAAAACCTAAAACTAATCAATCCTGAATGTGATTTTAGCATTTACTAACACCTAATTAGGAAACATAACGTGGATGCAAATTACTAGATTCAAAAGGGTAGGGAGGGATAGACACAAAGTTTTCTGCAAGATTGTCGCAGTAGATCAGAGGATGGGAAATTAAGACTGAATATTCCAGATTCACGCTGTTATAGTCTTTCATGCTAGGCATTTTGTAAAGCTTCAATTCCATACCAATAAAATTTCAAATTGTTAATGACAAAAATATGCCTAAATCAATAGAGAGAGAGAGAGAGAGAGAGAGAGAGCCTGGAAGATCGTGGAGTTGGTGAAGGCTGAAGAGGGAAGTTGTCAAATTGATTTTTTTGCTCATGTATGCTCAGTTGGTCCCTGAGTTCAATTCAGGCCTCTGCTGTCTGAGTTCGAGTGACGTTCGTCGTCTACTGGAGAGAGAGAGAGAAGAACAGGGCACAGTGGGAAAGGGGTTATTTATTTATTTATTGGGGGTAAATGAAAGGGGTTACTGTAAGAGAAGCGTATTAACCAATAATATTATAATCGGACCGGACATTAAACCAACAGACGAATTAAATTGGTAATAATTTATTGATTTAACCGTTGATCAATTAAACAAATTAGTTATATAATAAAAAATTATAAAATATAATAATTTAACTAATATATACGTACTAGTAATTTCTCGTATCTGAAGGCATAATATTACTCATAAATTAGTTATAAATATTTGACAATACATAAATGTAAAATAAAATACAACATTATAGTAAATGATGAACAAAATGAGTCCGCTAATATTTTTTATAATATCAACCTACATGTATAACATATATTTCCACATTAAATTATTATACCACGAAAATTATATTATAACTACTGAAACATAATAATTCAAACATCTGAAAAAAATATATTAGTTGACTATATTCAATGTTTTGTTTTTGATTCAAAATCCACGATTTTAACATTTATAATCAACTTTATCTAAATAATAACAGAATTGATAACTAATAGAATGAAATTAAAAGGAAAATTTTCAACAATACCCCCTCTAGTTTATCATATATTCAAAGATATCTCTTCTAATTTCTGAATCTTCAATGACACCCATTCTAGTTTAATTTAAACATCACTAACACCCCGTACCATTAAACTATTATTTCTAACAAAATAAATTCATCTAAAATATCAAAAATGCCCCTACATAACATAAAGTAATTTTTTTACATAAAATTTTATTAAAATTCGAGCTGTTAAAATTTTTAAAAAAATCATAAATAACAATTTTAGTAAATAATTTGTTATTTACTAATTCGTAAATTTTTAAAAAAAAATCAAGCCAATTAAATTTTTGTTTTACATATTAAAATTTGAGTTAATTTGAACTCTACCCGAGTTATTAGCGCCGATTAAAATTCTCTTTCGAGTCAATTAAAATTTATACTTTTTTACTTATTAAAATTCGTGTCAATTAAAATTATATTTATTAAAATTTAAGTCAATTAAAATTCATATATTTTTATATATTAAAATTTGGGCTGATTAAAATTCAATATGAATTAATTAAAATTTGATTTGAGTCGATTAAAAATAATTTTTTATTGGCTCAAACAAAATTTTAATTAGCTTAAATTCTAATACATAAAAAAATATAATTTTTAATTGGCACAAATTTTAATATGTAAAAAAATAAATTTTAATTAACTTGAATCGAATTTTAATCGGTTCGAATTTAATTACGTAAAACAAATTAGAAAACAAATGGGGTTTCATTGAAAATATACTTATCTAGAGGGGGTCTCATTGAATATATGTTTATCTAGAGGGGGTGTGTATGATGTTTGTCCTCAAATATATTATGGGCAATTTAGTAAAATTGCATTCTACTTAATATTTTTAATCTGACAGGGGTGTCATTGAAGATTCATAAACTAGAGGGGTGTTTTTGAAGATATGATAAATTAAAGGGGGTATGGTTGAAATTTTTTCAAATTAAATCAATATTCCCACAAATAAACTAAGTCTTCAAATGTAGTCAAATGACCAAATATAACTATCAGAAATTCAACCGACTTCCAAAAGATACGACCTGATTATTGAATTTGTATGATTCAAGTTTATAGTAGTGTTTTTAATTTTATATCATTATTTTCGGTTATTTATATTCTTATTATATTTTCTTAAATTAAATGTTATTTAGTATTGAATTATTTAGTAAATATTGTTACTTCGTGTTGTTCACTAAATATTAAATTTGTATGATTCTTTTTTATAGTATTGCTTATAATTTTGTATCATTTCTCTCGCTTATAATTTTGTATCATTTTTCTCAGATATTTAGATTTGGATTATTTAGTAAATATTGTTGTTTTGTGTTGTTCACTAAATATTGAATTTGTATGATTCGTGCTTGTATATGAATTTAATCTTGTATATTTTGCTGAAGCACCTCGCAAACGAAATTTAAAGACAAACCATCATGCTTTTGCTGCTGTGGTCGAGGCTAGTCATGCCTCCACTAGTAATTCTGAGAAAGCTTCCTCTTTCATTGCTATTTCTGGGAATGTGGGTAAGGCTCTTCATGTCTCTGTTAGTCATAGTGAATGGATAATTGATTCAAGTGCCACAAATCACATGACTTTTGACAATAATCATATTCAATCCATAAAATCCTCAGACCAACATATAGTATCCACAGGCGATGGTAACCCCTTTCTCGTATTAGGAGAAGGTTCAATTTGTCTTACAAAAAATTTGAATTTAGATTCAATTCTGATTGTCCATTCCCTTAATCATAACTTATTGTATGTTGCTCAAATAACCCGCACTTTAAATTGTGTTGTGATTTTTTGGCCTAACCTTTGTGTCTTTAAGGACATTTGGACTCAAAAGACAATTGGTTATGGTACTAGGAAAGGGAAACTCTACTATCTGGATCTAATGCCGGCAAGCTCAAATCAGTTGGCTCAAATTTTTTTAGCTAATACACCTGATAAACATCAGAGTTCAAAAATTTGGTTGTGGCATAGGCGTTTAGGCCATGCATCTTTTGGATATTTACAAAAATTGTTTCCACACCTTTTTTCGCAATTGACTGTTTTAGATTTTAAGTGTGACATTTGTGAACTGGCTAAAAGCCACCATGTTCCATTTCCTATTAGTATGAATAAAAGTCTTGTTCCTTTTATGGTTATTCACTCTGATGTATGGGGGCTACAAATACTTCTTTGAATGGAGCACATTGGTTTGTTTTATTTATTAATGATCACACTCGTATGACTTGGATTTTCTTGATGAAATCAAAGAGTGAAGTGAGTTTTGTGTTTCAACAATTTCACAAAATGATAGCAATCAATATCAATCTAACATTCAAGTCATCTGTATTGATAATGGAGGCGAGTTTATCAATCAAGACTTGAAACAGTTGCTGAATTTACATGGCGTTGTTCATCATACTACTTGCCCTTCCACCCCTCAACAAAACGGGGTAGCCGAACGAAAAAATCATCACCTTCTTGAGGTGGTTCGTGCTTCCTTGTTTGGAGCTCACATGCCCACCAATTATTGGGATGAAGCTGTCACTGCTGCAGCGTACCTTATCAACTGTGTACCTTCTAGTTCCTTACAATTTCATACTTCCTTTGATCTCCTTCATCAAACTATAAGTGCTCCTACCACACCAAATTTGTCCCCTAAAGTTTTTGGATGTGTAGCCTTTGTGCATCTTCACAAAGGCTTGAGAACTTAGTTGGAAACTCGGGCACTTCGATGTGTATTTGTTGGCTATGCCTTGCAAAAAAATGGCTATCGGTGTTATCAGCCCCCTTCTCAAAAGCTTTATGTTACCCTTGATGTGGTCTTTCATGAAAATAATATGTATTATTCTGAGTCTTCACTTCAGGGGGAGAATAGAGATGAAGTGCAGACTTTACGTCATCCTTTCGACAACTTGGATTTTATAAGAGGTGATAACTTGGAAACTAGTGGTGAATGTCCAAGTGATGGTAACACCATGGATAACAGGGAGGAATGTCCAGGTGAATGTCCAAGTGATGGTAACACCATGGATAACAGGGGAGGAGTGTCCAAGTGAGACTGGTGATGGTCCAGAATTTTTTGGGGATGAGAATCAGGGGCAGATAGAAGTTTAGAATCAAATGGAAGTGTCGTCAGTCTCTCACGATGTATCAGCTAACCAATTGTCTTCTCCAATCGATTCCATGCTTGAGTCTCATGAAAATTTTGAATCTGAACCTCACCTAAAAGTGTTACCCAATCGAGTCACAAGAGGGAAACCCAAAGTTAGCTATGAACTTGTCATCAACTCCAAATCTAAATATCCCATAAATAACTATGTATCCTACCATAGATTGTTAAAGGAAAGTATGACATTTGTGAACCAATTATCTGTTGTATCTATTTCTAACAATGTGTAGAAAGCCTTGAAAGATCCCAGATGGAGGGAGTCAATGAATGAAGAAATGAAGGCCCTTAAAAAGAACTCAATGTGGGAAGTTGTTGACTTGCCTGAAAAAAAGATACATGTTGGTTGTAGGTGGGTCTTCACCATTAAATACAAAGTCGACAGAACTATTGAACGGTGCAAAGCAATACTTATCGCCAAGGGATACACTCAAACATATGGAATTGATTATATGGAGACATTCGCACAAGTGACCAAAATTAACATTGTTCGTATTCTATTATCTCTGGCAGTGAATCTTGATTGGCCTTTACACCAGTTTGATGTAATGAATGCATTTTTGCATGGAAATCTCCAAGAAGAAGTGTATATAGAGTTGCCCCCTAGCTGTAATCTACAGATTGAAGGTAATAAACAGGTCTGTAGGTTGAGAAAATCCCTATATGGTTTGAAGCAATCTCCTAGAGTATGGTTTGGAAAGTTCACAAGTTTTATGAAGTCTATTGATTACAAGCAAAGTAACTCAAATCACACTCTATTCTTAAAGCATAATGAAGAACAAATCACAGCTCTTATTGTGTACGTCGATGATATGATAATGACTAGAAATGATCTTGAAGAAAGGGAAACACTATAGGAGCATATTGCCCGTGAGTTTGAGATGAAGGACCTTGGTGAATAGAAGTATTTCCTCGGAATTGAAGTGTCAAGATCGAAGAAAGATATTTTTCTGTCACAAAGAAAATATGCCTTAGACTAATTAAATGAAACTGGTATGATAGTATGTAGTCCAGCTAGGACTCCTATGGAAGAAAATTTGAAACTATGTGTGCATTCAAATCACGTTCCTGCTAACAAAGAACGCTATCAGAGACTAGTTGGAAGAATAATGTATCTTGCACATTGTAATGCCCCAAAAATCACCCTGGAATACATTACCTTCTAAAACCATTCATACCATGAGAATAACTAATAAAATTCATAAATAACTGAGGGTCCTTAATTTAATAACATTCAAGCAGAGTCTCTTTTGTTCG